TTGTACAGCTGTACAATGTGCCTATTTTAATTTAATTTATCTTAATTTTAGTATTATTACAAAAGTAAAAAAGCTAAACGTTTGAAAAGTTTATAAAGTAAAAATGTTACAGTAAGCTTAGGTTAACTTATTGAAGAAGAAACTTTTTTATTTTAAAGATGTGGGGTACAATTCAGGGTTAGGTATACAAATGTTCATTATGCATGTACCCTTGTTGATGAGGTGTGCTCCCCACCTTCCCCCAGCAGATTCCCACTACTGCGAATCCTGTCCCCGCCCTCCCCTGGCAGTTTCCCACTACTGCCAATCCTTTTCTTACAGTTTTATGATAATTGTTCAAGGTCCGCTAATACGTGAAAACATGTGATACTCGGTTCTTTTTTTCTGTGATAGATTACTCAGTATTATAGATTCTAAGTCCATCCAGTTTGCTGTGAAGTTCATAATTTTGTCCTTCTTTATGGCTGTAATACCATCATGTACATGTATCACATTTTTTTAATCCGGTACTCTTTCAATGGGCAGCACAGTTGGTTCCATGTTTTCGCTATTGTGAACAATGCTGCAATAAACATACGTGTGCAGGTATCTTTGTCATAAAGTGATTTGAGTTTCTCCAGGTATATTTCCAGTAGGAGGACTGCAGGGTTGTATGGAAGGTTGTTTTTTAGATCTTTTAGGAATCACCAAACTGTTTTTCACAGAGGTTGTATTAGTTTACACTCCCATCAACAGTGTAGAAGTAAGGAACTTATTTTTTAATAAATTTAGTGTAGCCTAAGTGTATAGTGTTTATAAAGTCTACAGTGAAATAATGTCTAGTAATGTCCTAGGCCTTCATAGTCTAGTAATGTCCTAGGCCTTCATAGTCACCCACCACTCACTCACTGACTCACCAGAGTAACTTTCAGTCCTGTAAGCTCCATTCATGGTACATACCCTATACATGTGCACTGTTTTTTTATCTTGTATAGTATATTTTTACTGTATCTCTCCTAAGTTTAAATATATTTAGACACATAAAAACTTACTATTGTGTTACAATTGCCTAGAATATTCAGTATAATAGCATGCTGCACAAGTTTGCAGCCTGGAGCAATAGGCTATACCATATAGCCTAAGTATATAGCAGGCTACACCATCTAAGTTTCTGTAAGCATACTATGTTCGCACAATGACAAAATCACCTAAGGACATATTTCTCAGAAAGAAATACAGTCATGCCATTGTTAAGCAAGGCATGACTGTAACTGGTAATAAGCACAGAGGCAAAAAGCAACATGGACCATTCAATCTACTGCAAGTTCTTATTTGGAGGAACATTTGAGAGAGGAGCAGTCATAAGAAATAAGATGCAAGAGAATGGTAGAAGCAAAGTTATGAAATGCTTTGGGACATAGGTTTAAAAGTTTGAACTTTACTCAGAAAAATAGTCCTCCAACAGCTACTAAAAAGAATTTTAAGCAGGAAGGCAAAATGAGTCTATTTTCATTCTTAAAAGATCTATTTGATTTTGGTATGGTGAAAAGCTAATCCTGAATTCAGGAAGCAATGTTAGGATAGAGAAGAAGGAGCAGATGTGAAAAACACAAAAGAACAAAATTCATTGCACTTAGAGACTAATTGAAAGGGAAGGTGGAATGAGAAGGAAAAGTCTAAAATGAACTGGTCTAAACTGACTATGAAGATGATGATAAAGAACACAGGATGAAGGGTGAGTCTGAGGTGGAAGGGAACCTAGAAGAATGACAAAGTCAATTCAAATTATTTTGCACATTATATTTTCTATATATTGTCTGAAGAATTCCTATAAAACAGAAATTACATATAAAGCATATTAAAAGGTATGACCATTAGGGAAAAGAGTATGAAGTTTCCTAAGGAATTTTTTTTTTTTTTTAGTTGGAGTCTCACTCCATTGCCCAGGCTGGAGTGCAGTGGCACACTCACGGCCAGCCCAGAGTCGACCTGCTGGGCTCCAGCAATCCTTCTGCCTCAGCCTTGCAAGTAGCCAGAACTACAGGCGCACACTACCACACCCAGCTAATGTTTGATTTATTATAGAGACAAGATCTTGCCAAGTTGCCCAGACTGATCTCAAACTCTCCGGCTCAGACAATCCTCTCACCTCAGCCCCCCAAAGTGCTGGGATTACAGGCTGAGCCACTGAGCCCGGCCCCTAAGGAAATTAAAAATAGAAAACTACCATATGACCTAACAATCTTTCTTCTGGATATATAACTGAAGTAAATGAAACCACCACCTCATAAAAATATCTGCACTCCTATGTTCACTGCAGCATTATTCACAATAGCCAAGATATGAAAACAACCTAAGTGTCTGTTGACTGATTAATGGAAAAAGAAACAGTGGTAATATATATACACAATGGAAGATTATCAGCCTTAAAAATGGAGATCCTGCCATTTGCCACAATGTGGATGAAACCGGAGGACATTATGTTAAGTGAAATAAGCCAGACATAGAAAAAAATGTCGCATAGGAAAAAGTCATATATACAGAGACAGAGAATAAAACAGTGGTTACCAGGGGATAAGAAGGAGGAAAAAAATGGGAAGATGTAGGGCAAAAAATATAAAGTAGCAGATATGTAGGCTATACAAGTCTAGAGATCTACTGTACAACATTGAAACTACCTATACTGGGGGAGAACCCCCCAAAAATGGAATTTATTTCTTTAAAAATTGTGTATTTATTCCTACATGTTTACATTTCAGTTACCTTCAAAGTACTCTCCATCTGATGCAATATGCCTATCAAGATGCTTTTTCCACTACTCAAAACAATTTTTGAACTTGTCGATGTTGATGCCTTTTAAAGCTTCTATCATTTTTTTGTTTCACCGCTGCCATATTGGCAAAACATTTCCCTTTGAAGACTCTTTCATCTGGAGAAACCAAAAAAAGAGTCACTCTAGGAGAGATTAGGTAAATAGGGAGTGCGGGGCATGGGTCATGCCATTTGGGTCAAAACTGCTGAACACTCAGTGCAGTGTGGGTAGGTACACTCATAAATCACCCATCATGAAATGGACAAATGCAGTGAAAGAATCTCAAAAAAAAATTCCGCTGAAGCAGAACACAGTCTCTCACACCAATGCTATCTGGTACACTGATGCCTAAAGGATCCTAGAATACTGGCCTAGTAAGGAAGCCTGTACTACAAAGAGCCTGCCCTCCAAAAAATAATTCCAGGGTTTTTTCAGTTCCCCTCATATAAAATTAATATTGCTACAGGATAAAAACTGTAGAAGAGACCTGAACCCTAAAAAGCTGCAACTACATTTAGAAATTAACAAACATATTGTTTCGAAGTTTGCTTTCACCCCAATAGAGGGAAATTAATTATCTTCATGTCCTGAACCCTGGGAAGGGGGAAGCTGCCCTGCAAGGCTGATCAACCAATTCTCCCTTAAACAGTGGGCCTGAGACCTCTATAATGGCTCTCTGCCCAGGGATTAATACCTGATAGTCATAGGACTTGCTTTATAGACAGCATCGATTGTAAAACCTAAGAATGGTATTTGAGATATTTTTCAGACTTTGTACTCTGATGGGCCCGAAGCCCCACCAGGGCCCAGAACACATATCAAGAAGTTCACCACCAGTCCTGTGGTGAACTCCTCCCAGAAATTGACTCTGCAACAGGAAAATAGTCTGGACACCCTCACCATGACATCATCAATCAGTCAACAGCCCATTATACTCTACCTGCCAAGATCTATTTATTTAAAAACCTATCCTCTGAATTTTCAGGTAGGCAGATTTGAGTAATTTCTCCAGTCCTCTTCACTCAGCTGCCTTGCAATACAAAACGCTTTCTCCATTGTAATAGCTGCACCAGTTCTAGTTTTCCTGGGCATCAGGCCTAAGTATCTGGTCAGGTTGTAACAACATGAGTACTATATTTAATGATACTTTATTCAAGATTTTAGACATTCTTCCCATACACACACAAAAAAAATAGGTAACTGTGAGATGATGAATATGTTAATTTTCTTCACTACGGTAACCATTTTACTATTTATATGTATCCTATAACATCATGTTGCGTAACTTAAATATGCACAATAAAATTTATCTTAAAAATGAATAAACATAAAAATAAAATAAAGTATATTACAAATAATCCCCTATTTCATATATATGACCCAAAGTTTATTGTGGCTAGTATATTCATTTTAATTATTTAAAGAGCAAAAACTTCCTGATTTTCTTAAAGCTATATTGGGAGCTGGGGGAGGGAAATATTTGGAAATCTCAAGTCTCCATTAAAAGCTGAACAGAAAAATTCAACTTTACCTTTCCTCCCAAAATAGTTATTTGCAACAAGCTGATGTACACAAAAATCATTCCATTCACCAAAGAACATTGAGCAATTCTTTTAAATATATCCTGCAAATAGAACTTATCATTCTTTAGAAAATTTCTGCATTATGATAAGCAAAGATATCAGAAGGTGAGATACATGCCTTTATTATCTAATACTAACAAAGCAGCAACATAGGTTATACATAGTTTATACAAAGCATTAACAAAGTTTAGAAAAATCTAAATCTCCAGAAATTTGAAAAATAAAAAATGTACCTCTGAGGTGGTCAGTTCTAAAACTTCTATCTCCCAACTGTGTACAAGGAACTTTACAATTTATTTATGTATGGGGAAATATGTCTTCAACTTCATTAGTCGTTTTTCATTATATTCTATGGTTGAAAAAAAAAATACCCTTCTCTTTGTTTATTATGGAGAAGCTATGGCATGGGGGAGTGGAAGGAGGAGTTGCTAAACAGAAGAGCCAGGGGTGGGACTCAGCCTTGGAGTTGTCTAATGAGCCACTCTGCCTCCCACAGCTAACTCCTCACAGCTCTGCAAAAGACTAATAAACTCAAGCCAACAAAAACAAAACACTCACAAATCTAATTCAGTAACTAACACCCTAAGGATATACAGTTTTCTCCTGACCAGAACTAAAGTACTCACTTTCTTTGCGAACTTCCTTAAGTGCAGCAGTAAGCTCATCCTTTAAAACTGTAGCTTCCTGGGCGATCTTCTCTCCTTTGTCTAATAAATTCCAAGTTGCTTCCTCCACAGAAGCTAAAAGGACTCTGGCTTTTTTTGAACGTCCTTTTTTCCTGTTGGAAGGGTTCTGGGGACAATTTACAAGTGTTGTAACCTAAAATTGAAAAAATACACAAATCACTCAGAGAAACTGAGAACACAGTCCTGGGATATCTATCCTAGAACAAAAGGAAGCACAGTTGACCCTTGAACAATCCCAAATGTTAGGGGCGCCAATCCTCCTCCATGCATTGAAAATCTGAGTGTAAACCGGGCTCGGTGGCTCAGCCTGTAATCCCACGCCTTTGGGAGGCTGAGGTGAGCGGATTGCCTGAGCCCGCGGGTTCGAGACCCGCCTGGGCAGCAAGACCTCATCTCTACAATAAATCAAAAAATCAGCCGGGCGTGGTAGCGCGCGCCTGTAATTCCGGCTACGCGGAAGGCTGAGGCGGAAGGATCGCCGGAGCCCAGCAGGTGGAGGCTGCGGTGGCCGGGAGCTGGGCGACCGAGTGAGACTCCAACTCAAAAAAAAAAAGAAAAGAAAAGAAAATCTGAGTGTAACTTTTGATTCTCCAAAAACTTAACTACTAGTAGCCTACTTTTAAATGGAAACTTTACTAGTAACATAGAGTCAATTAACAGATATTTTGTATGTTTATGTGTATTATATACTGTATTCTTAAAAGAAGCTAGAGAAAATAAAATGTCATAAGGAAGAGAAAACACATTTACTGTTCATTAAGTGGAAGTGGATCATCATAAAGGTCTTCATCCTCATTGCCTTCACATTGAGTAGGCTGAGGAGGAAGAGGAAGAGGAGATGGTTTCACTGTATGAGGGGTGGCAGAGGGAGAAGACACGGGGAAGGAGAGGCAGGCGCACTTGATGTGACTGTCATTGAAAAATATCCGCATATATGCTCTGCACAGTTCAAACCAGTGTTGTTCAAGGGTCAACTGTATTTTATAGTAACAGGATCCACTCTCAGTAATGTTGTTGGTACAAACCCCAAAAGTCAAGTTTTAGCACGAAGAGCACAATAGTTACCACGGAGTTCCCAACTAAAGATAGGAAGAAAGAGTCACAGAGATTGAATCTCATCAAGTTTTAATACTGGAAGAAAATGCTTTAGAAGACTGTGTGTGTGTGTGTGTGTGTGTGTGTGTGTGTGTGTGTGTGTGTGTGTGTGTTGTTTTAATTACAGAAACCTTGATAAAGCAGTTAAGAACTTTGAAAAAATATACAATCTTTGTAAAGTAGTCAAAAATGAGAAAAGTAGAAAATTATATATCTCAAAAATATCAACTAATTATAAAATAAAATTTATACCATTTTGTACTCAGCAGTCTAACCAGGGGTACCAAAAAAATCTATACACATTTTTAAGAGATGTTATTTAAGTATTGCTTCCTGAAGAACTTCTCAGAAGTGTCTGGACATAGACGGTAACCACTCTGAGCACCTCTTGTAATTATGTAAGTCAGATGTGACTTGCATTCATCTTTTGTTATCGGTATATATTTCTCCTTTCTTAAAATGTGTATACATTTTTTGGTGCCCTCTGTATATAAAAAGGGAGGCAAAAATAATTATAATTAAGTTAGCCTAATTAGGCTGAAAATAGAATTTACTAATATTGGAGGAGTAGGGAACACTCTGAAACATACAAAACAGTGATTACCTCAAGAGAACAGAGACCAAATCCCTATCATGATCTACTTTCTTGCCTTTTGTAATCTCTCAGATCTGTCTCCTACCCTCTTTCCTAACTTATTCAGCCTCTCAAACAGTTCCCAAAGTCCCCTATCAAGAGGTCTTTCCTGACCACCTTTATCTGCATCCTCTCACTCTAATCCTTTACCATTTTGTTTTTCCTTAAAACATTTACAAAACCTGACAATTTTTATCTGTAAATACTAAAAATGTAAAGCTAAGTACTAAAATGTAATATTAAAATGTAAACTCAATGAAAGCATGAAATACATTTTGTTATCCAGCATCCAGAACAGTGTACAAAGTAAGTGTTTAATAAATATTTAACATATGAATGGTTTGAATGGGGTAGTAATGAAAGATTTTAAAATGCCTCTATTCTGAATTGCCTAAATATATCAATAATGAGCATATATTTCATTTGTAAATTTATTTAAAATAAGAACGAATGCCTCACCACAAATATGTGAAGTGATGGATGTGTTAATTAGCTTGCTTTGATCATTTCACAATGTATACATACATTAAACATCAGAGGGTACACTATAAACATATGCAAATTTTATTTGCCAGTTATACCTTAATTAACCTGGGAAAAAAAGAAAAAAATGAATCCTAACCACAAGAAGAACAAACTCATGATAAGAGCATTACTTGAAGATGAAAATTAAAACCTATATTTGGAAATAAAAACATCATACTGAATTACATTATGAAAAATATCCATTTCTGTCCAGACTCTGTAGCTCATGCCTATAATCCTAACACTTTGGGAGGCCAAGGCAGCAGTATTGCTTGAGTCCAGGAATTTGAGACCAGCCTGGGCAACATAGTGAGACTTCGCAGCAACTTGGATGGATTTAGAGTCTATCATACTCACTGATCTATCACAGAAACAAAGAACAGAGTACCACATGTTCTCACTCATAAGCGGACCCTGAACATTTACCATAATACTATAAGAAAGGGAATGGCAGTAGCAGGATACTGCTGGGGTGGGGAAGGTGGAACACAACATCAATAAGGGTACCTGATCTCAAACCAAGCAAAGTGGAGACCAAAGGGAGGTCCAAACTTTACCTGTACAATGGCCACTTATATACCTAATCCTGAATTGTATCCCATATCTTTAAAATAAAATAATTTTTTTTAAAAATTGTCAAGACGTATGCTAAACATGCACCACATCTTTAACAACAAACTATACATAATCCTTCCTGCTAAGCAGCCCCTAGAGATTTTTGTTTGTTGTTTATGGAGCATTAGATGTTTGTTTACTTGGATATCTGGACACAGTTTTTAATAAGAAACTGAGAAAAAAATGTATAAGTTATGCGGGAAATATGTGGATGAAAATAACTTTTGTCTGCCTTTCTATTCTCCTCCCCTTACCCCATAAGCCCTCTGTTTTAATCTCATTTGTTTCATTCCCATATTCATGACCCAGATTGGAATGTGTTGTGGGAAGACTTTGTTTCTTCTCTTAGGAAGTAAGAAATATCATATTATCCTATAAGACTGTGCAAAGGTTAAATGAGGCAAGATATTATATAAAATCATAACATGACACAAATATTTGTTGGCATTTGATGTATATTTTCCAATTCATTCCCCACATTGATGCAAAAAATTGGCTACAAGAATCCTTATCAAAGATGTTCTCTCTGGACCTAACCTTATCTTGCTCTTAGTGCCTCTCATGCTAAATGTGATCAAGGTACTTAACAAAGCACATTCTAGATGCTTTAGAAGCAACTAAACAGGGTCATGTGTCTTTGTTACAGATTACATAAGAATGATAAAAAGTCTGATTTGTTGCATTTTCACAAACTCCAAAAGGCAAATATCTCACTATTGTCAGTCTAATTTATATATCAAGAGTTAAAAGATATTTGTCCAGATTCAGACAAATTATAGCACCTAGTTTAAAACCTTTGTTTAAAATGAAGAATAAAGTATAATTGTCTGAAATGTTCCTTCAGAATGTATTTTAAATGCCACAATTCATAATACTTCCCACTGCACATTCCTCCTCTATTGTTCAGATCCTCCATGCGCCAAATGTTTTCCATAGAATAGCCTGGGCTTTGAAATTAAAATGAGCATTCCAGAAATGCTTTGTTCCTTATAATAAATGCCAGGGAAGTAAGAAATGTGAAAAAGAACATTGTATAAGAACATTGTGCTTCAAAAAAAAAAAATGCAATCGCAAGTTGCAAGTTATTCACTTTCATAAGTTGTTTGTACTTATGTCTTCTTTTAAAATATCCTAATATAGTTATTTCATATTGATTAAACTAAAGTCAAATGATGTTTTCAATGATTTGTTTTATTTCAGAAAAGAAATATGGCTTGGCAATCCTGTGAGAAGAAAGAAAGCTGAACCTTTTTTTTTTTTAACTCCAACTCACCTAGGAGATATAGCCTACTCTCTCAGTGACTGTGACTCACTAAAACACATGATTCTCACTAAAAGGGAGGAGGAGAGTGTACATATGCTATTTGAAAAGGTCTCTCATTTCTTGAAAGAATACCAGCAACCAGTAAAATTAGTTTTCAAGATATTCTGTAAAAATAATTCCTGTATCCTCATTTTCTTTTTTAGTACAAAATCAGTTATATTTTTATAAGGAACACAAAAACTTTAGTTGGAACTTGTAGCAAAGATGATTCTAATGTAGGGTCCTAGCCTATGCCTTGCTAAAATTTACTTCTTGTCACTGATACACAATTCTCCCATTCCCCTCTTTTTCAGACCTTAGGGGTTTCTCTCATATGGACAATCTCCAGACTTACAGCATTAGAGAGCTTGGGTTTGCTCACTTTTCTTTAGTCTGTAAATCTTGCTAGGCTATAAAGACATACCTTCATCAAAGATACAGGAAAGAACTCCCCACTGAAATGGTTCTAAATTAGAGGTTTCAAGTAATATGAAAAGAAGCAATTCTCACTCTCATTTCAGACATAAATACCAGAGAAGTAAGAAATGTGAAAAGAACATTGTATAAGAACATTATGCTTCCATCAAAAAGAAATGCAATTGCAAGTTGCAAGTTATTCACTTTTATAAGTTGTTTGTACTTATGTATTCTTTTAAAATATCCTAATATAGTTATTTCATATTGGTTAAACTAAAGTCAATGATGTTTTCAATGATTTGTTTTATTTCAGAAAGGAAACATGGCTTGGCAATCCTGTGGGAAAAAAGAAAGTTGAACCTATTTTTTTTTTTTTTTTACTCCAACTCACCTGAGATATAGCCTACTCCCTCAGTGTTCATTAATTCTGCAAATTTAAAATTCCACAAAACCAGGTATATTTTAAATGTTGTACAATATTTTTATAGTAAAATTTAGAGTATCAAAAAATGTTTTTATACTTTTTCCTGATTCAAGTGTGCTT